TTCAAAAGACGTTGACATTAACTGTCCTATCTATAGCACCATAATATTAAATCATAGATTAATTAGATTTAAAAAATTCATCTCATAAATTAGTCGTAATCTATGCAAAACTTTAGGGAGAGAAAAAACAAGGTGTCGGGAAAACGCGATCGCTGCTCTGGCCTCTCCTGGGGGATGGTGGTTATAGTAGAAGAAAAATAAGGCGCGCGCGTGGTGGTCTAGCGTGAAGCCTCGTCCACCTAGGTAGCTAGCGCTGTCCGCTTGCGCGCGCTCGTGAACCGGCAGAGGGACGCTCGTGAACTCGATCCTCCCTGACCCTCCCGTTTGCTTTGTGTCCTCTTCATTCCCAGGTACGTCGTCCTGGCCCTCGTCGGCACATTGGTTTCGGCCGGCGGTACGCCTGTGCTAGTTAGCGGTGTGATGTCACTAGTACTAACCCCTTTGTCTTGCAGCTCAGTGATCGATGGCTATCCGTGATATCGATTAGCTTTAAAACATTATGTATCCTAGCTGCTTTTACGGGTGGGGAGCACAGATCGAGGAGGATTCTCAGGTCCGTACTCGTCAACGATCTTGGACCTGGCTGGGGACGGTGGTTCGGGGGATGGCTTTCCCATATGATGATGGCCAGTGAATCGATCCGGAATGACAGCAATTTCATGGGTTCTCAGCAATCAGCATAATCATTGGAAGACACATGCCAAAGTTACTGTACAATGTCCTAGTGGTGGGTTGCATTGATCGCCAAGTTATCGATTGTAGTTACCACCAGGCGCAAAGGGTGGACGCGGGAGCATCAGAGGAAAGCCGACGATGTGCACACCTAAGATGGGCCACGAAGGACATCAAGGCCCAGGTCCGGCAATGTGCGTTTCTCAGGTCCAGAATGAATTCGGTCCATGTAACAACGCCGTGTAGAATGAATTCGGTCCATGCGTGTCCGCTCCCGAATCGGTCGTTTCTTCCACACGCTTCTTTCCCCAGGCTACAGTAGATCACACAGGCGAATCCCAGGTGATTTCCAACTCCCGGCGTCGATTCCTTCTCGTCACCGGTGGCCACTTTGGCGCCGGGGATGGGGAGGAGTTGCGGAATCGATAGTCGGTGTATATACCCTTCCTTTTTAGCTTATGTTTGTGTAGGTTAGGGTTAGGGTTGGAGTCTTTCCCAAGCTTCTCCAGCGTCAGCTATGTCGATGGTTGGCGGGTTTCAGTGGTGGTCTGTGGGCGGGAGGACCACAGCGTCAGTATCATCTGCAGGAGGTTTGGCATCGACGATTTTTTCTTTGTTTCCTTCTTCTGCGTTGGTGCTCGAATCTTCTGTGTGCTTCTTTGGGTTGTTTGTGGCCTTCTCGTCAGTGGCAACGCCGAATGCATGACCTACAACATGACTGTTGTTCGAAGGAGACTTGGTGCTTTTACCGGTGGCGTTTTCATCGGGATTTTGTCCCTCCAAGGAGGTTTCCCTCGGAGGTTATGGATCCACTTGCTCCTGTATGCGGGCTGGTGTTCTTGGATCCCCTCTGTGGGATTGTTGCTCGTTGGCCAGAGCTTGTCGGTGATGCGACTGGTGTCTGTTTCCAGTGAAAGTGGGGTTTGCCCGGGGTGTTCCACGGTAAAACAGCACGGTGTGCTGCTGATGGGCTTCAAAAATCAAGACTCGTTGTCGAATCGGGAATCGTCCGGAAGCTTCATTCTGGATCTTCTTCATTGCGGGAGATGGAGGAGGACCAGGCTGTGGCAGCGATGGTCGGCGATGGTGACAAGCACTGGATGCTCCTGTAATGGACTTATGTGTAATTTTATTTTCTTTCAGGGGTACCCGGTCAGGGGCTTGGTTGTAAGCATTCAATATCAATAAAATCCAACCCTTTCTCAAAAAAAAAAATGAATTCAGTCTATATGTTTGTTTTGTTGGTACAACAGTAGCACTGTAGTACTCCCTAACAAAAAAAAATCAAAGCGACTTATAGTTTGAAACGGATGGAGTATATATATTCTTTGCTGTCCATAATCTACTTTAATGCGCGCTCATCGCTGTCTGCTGCAGAGGTGACATTGACACCGTTGTGCAACCGGCTCACAGCCCCGATCGGACGTGTTTATTCTTCTTCTTCGGACTTCGCGTGTGACGGTGTGAGCGCCTCTCAAAAATATGTTCCATCCGAAACGTTGACCAGAAAACCTGCAACTGCTCGAACGCCTTGAAGAGTCGAAGGTTTTTTGGACTGGTCAACACTGCGATATGGTAATTGGCGAACATGAAGCGGCAGCTGCGGCACCGCCGCACCGTCTCAACTACTCGCACTCGCCGAGAGTCAGCTCCGGAGGTCCTCAAACCCGTGCATGTCGCGCGGCAGTGGCGGCACCTCTAGGCTCGCTGCCTCGCTGGCACGAGCGCGAGGGAGAAAAAGACTTGGCCTTGTGCCGCGGGAGACGTGGCCTTTTTCTATCTACCTGGGGAATTGAGAAGCGAGCGGTCGATTCGTCGTCTCCGCGACCGCGCTCAGCAGTGCACGCAAAGGCTACCCAGATGGCGTGTGAGCATTCGGTTCCAATGGTGGTAGTTTTTGGGTAGGCAGGAGCTGCTCATCTAACTCCACACACAACAGTTGAATTATAGTACTACTACTGCTGCTACTACTAATATAACACGACACAACGACGGGATTGATGCTACGTGGAACCTCTCCCGATTGACCGGCCACATAGCAGTAGCTAGCTAGGGCTACCAAACAAATTCTTTTGAGCTTTTTGACAGTACAACTTGAGCAATCAGCAGTCGAGTCCAAACTCCATGTCCAATGATACTACTCCAATCTCGTTAATTATATTGTCCATGGATTATAAATATATCAGTAGGGGAATTTTAAGCTGGACAACTCGCGCGCGTTCCTTTCCGGCAGCAGCCCCCACAGAATTCCCATGTGTACTCGTTGCGAATGTGAGCTCATGTATGAGCGTGGTTAGTTTACCGATCCATCTATCGAAATCTTTCCAACGCTGTGATGAGATCATGGATCTTACCATGATGCCAAAAGGTGGCCTTTTTTTTGTTAAGGATGCATGCAGTGACATAGGCATCCAAGTTCAGGGGCAGTCGGCAGATTTATTAGAGGATGCATGGTGCTCCAGCCCCTCTACCTGCATAAAATACAATGGAGCCCCACCAAGACAAAGGTGAAGTAGAAGAAGAAGAGGAGGAGAACAGGGAGGTTGAAGAACGAAGGAAAGAGATGGATGAGCCTCCTATGTTGTGCTGTGTAATGTTGTATAAATGGTCGATCTAAGCCAATGTCATTCAAGTTTTTTCCTCCTTTTCTTTTCTTCATTTTTGAAACATAGGACATACTCCCTCCATTCCTTGTTAACTCTCACTTTCTGATAAGTCAAACGTACTCAACTTTGACCAAATATATATAAAAATATTAATATCTATGGTATATATTTAGTATCAGTGGATAGATTGTTGCATCTATTTTTTTAAAATAAACTTATTTAAAGATATAAATGTTACTAATATTTTCTACAAATCTAGTCAAATTTAAGAAAGTTTGAACATCACGAATATCGTAGCGACACTTAAAAAGGGACAGAAAAAGTATATAGCATGAATACACATGCACTCTCCTTATATATACCGAGCTAATGGATCTTAAATTGAGAAGTCGTCATAGGCATATAAATAGTATGAGCACATTGCCTACTACTACTAATTAACCTAAAATACGAGCGTTTGTGTTGAGTTAGAGCAACTCCAGTAGGGGCACCCAAATCAAGGCTGCTACTTTTGATTTGGGTGATCTCCCTATTTTTCTTGGCTCAAATTTTTGCTTCTACTCCAATAGCAGCACCAAAATTTGCCACTCATCATTGTCTCTTTCTTCTTCCTCCTTCCTCTATACAGGGACCGATCAATCAACTTCTTTGCTGGCCAGTGGATCTAACCGCGTGGGTAGGGAGAGGGAGAGACGCGCTGCTCTGGAGGTGGCTGTCTCTGCCATGCGCTCACCCGCGGCTCCCACCTCTGCTGGCCGCGTGTGCTCAGTGCCTCCCGTGCCTCCTCTCCTGGGGCGGCACGTGTGTGCCTAGCTGCGGGCGGGACCTCCTCATGCGGGTGAGCGCACAGAGGCAATGACCGCAGGTGAGCGCTCGAGCCTTGGCCAGGCGACACGCTCGCGTCAGGGGAGCGGTGAACCGCGCTCACGCCATGGCCGGGCGGCGCGCCCGCGCCGGCCACGTGCGCCTGTACGCGCGCTGAAGTGATGAAGTCCACTTCAGCTGCCACAGTGGCCTGTCCACGTAGATCCAAAATATAAAACGACGGGGTATGGACTCTTTATGCCCCACTAATCCAGATTTTGGACCCAGAAATGTACTTTCAAACTTGATGGACCAAACTCACACAGCCTCACTTGACTAACCATGGGTTTTACTCAATATACAAATAGAGTAATCCAACATGTTCTTATAAAAAAATATGTAAATATAGACACATGAATCCTAAAAAAAATATGTGAGTTTAGCTACTCATAAAGAGCTAGCTTATCTTTCTCTTTTATTTTTGTTAAATAAAATATCATATAAGGTAGCTTTTGAGGTACTATTGGAAGCAGTCAAAGACTCAAAGTCGGACTAGGCTGCCAGTGCTCAGTGGCTCACGTTCCGCGCGCAGAAAATGTTTATCCTCCTCACGCTGAAACGGAACGGTAGGCTGAGCTGAACAACTCACAACCACCACCACCCGGGAACAATTGAATACTCCCTCGATCCTAGTACGCGGGGAGCGGGCAGGCGGCAGCATTCCCTCGTCATGTCGACCGACGCAGACACCCAGCAGCTAGCCTATATAATAACATCGCCACCGGCACATACAGCACACACAGCGCAGCATTTTGCCGAGATCCAAGAGATTTTTCTGTGTTTCCACGCACAAAGATTGTGCCCCGGTAGCGTTGCCTCTCGATCTTGCGATTGTTAGAGCTTGCAAGGCCAAGGACGATGGTGAACCTGGTGGCGGCGCAGAAACCGCTGCTGCGCTTCCTGGTCAGGATGGCCGGGCTGCGCCAGCACACCGTCGACGTCGATGGCGCCGGCACGGTGATCACCTTCTGGGTGCCCAAAGACAAGGTTCCCAAGGAGAAGGGCACCGTGCAGGACATCACGACGCCGGCACCGGCGGCGGCCAAGGAGGCCAGCAGGCCCGCCGTGGTGCTCGTGCATGGCTTCGCCGCCGAGGGCATCGTCACCTGGCAGTTCCAGGTTCGCTACCGTGTACAGATTCATATACATGTGTACGTTGGTTGGGTTCATTCGTGCTGTGCAGATTAATTAATACATGCATGCGCACGCAGGTGGGCGTGCTGGCGAAGCACTACGACGTGTACGTGCCGGACCTGCTCTTCTTCGGGGGCTCGACGTCGCCGTCGCCGGACCGGTCCCCGGGGTTCCAGGCGGAGTGCCTGGCGACGGCGCTCCGGAAGCTGGGCGTGGGCCCGTGCACGGTGGTCGGGTTCAGCTACGGCGGGATGGTGGCGTTCAAGATGGCGGAGGCGCACCCGGACCTGGTCCGGTCGCTCGTGGTGTCGGGCTCCGTGGTGGCCATGACCGACTCCCTCAGCGAGACGACGCTGGAGGCCATCGGCGTCAAGTCGTCGGCCGAGCTGCTGCTGCCGGAGTCCGTCAAGGGGCTCAAGGCGCTGCTCTCCGTCGCTGCCTACCGGAAGCTCTGGTTCCCCGACCGCCTCCACAGGGACTTCCTTGAGGTAATCAGCCGGAGCAGCGAGTGACGTAGTGAAGCTGTGCCTCTGATCGTCTGATCTGTGGTGGTTTGTGCACGCATCGGCATCGCAGGTGATGTTCACCAACCGCAAGGAGAGAGCCGAGCTGCTGGAAGGTTTGGTGGTCAGCAACAAAGACGCCACCGTGCCCGTCCTGCCTCAGGTTTGGCCACCGCTCCCGCTCTACTACTACTACTACTAACCTCTCTCTCTCTCTCTCTCTCTGGGTGTGGTCATGTCGCCGGGATGGTCGTCGTTATATTTTCCACGAAATTAATGGAACATGGCTTCCCTGGCATGGTCATGGTCATGGGTTTCCATTTCAATCTTAGGCCTTGTTTAGATTTTAAGTTTTTTCACTCTCTCTTTATCACATCAAATCTTTGAACACATGTATGGAGCATTAAATATAGATAAAAAAAATAACTAATTACACAGATTGATTGTAAATTATGAGACGAATCTTTTGAGCCTAGTTAGATCATGATTAAACAATAATTGTCAAATACAAACAAAAATGCTACAGTGATAAATACTAATTTCTAACAGCTATCTAAAAGGCCGACAGTGAAAAACATTTGATTAGCTAGTAGCTAGGAGTACTGTACTGGCTAGGCTCATCAAGTAAGCATTGATTGTCTCCAACGAATCCCTGTACGCGGAACAGTGGAGTTTTCCTCAGCAAGTGCATGGTGCTGTACGCAGCGTTAATAAGGCTTCCGCGTGCCTTCCTTGTTTGACAAAGTGATGAAGTGAAGTGACTGCTACAGACCTGGAAATGGCTACTGCGCCGGCCCCGGCTGCACTGCACGTGCACGTGCACTTGAACGGAGTGGAAACAAGCGGACCCCGTTTCAGTTTCTAGCCTTCTAGGCACACCAATCACTCCCTTGGCAGTGGCATGACCAGGAGTAGAAATTAATGATCTAAATATTAGCAATATTTATATGTTTAAATAATTTTATTATAAAAATATATATTAAATAGTTCATACGGATACTAATTATATATCATAAATATTAATATTTTTTTATATATATTTGGTCAAAGTTAAAACGTTTGATTTTTTCTATCGGAAAATGTGAATTGCACTTATCTTCGGATGGAGGAAGCATGTATAACAGGAGTACAGGCGATACCGATACTGTTGTGTGCAATACTGTACATCCGAATTTCTTTTTCATTTCGTCCGCTTCAACCTCACAAAGTCACAAGATGGTGATGAGATCCCCGCTTGCTCTGCAGAAAATACTTCTGCTGTGGGGAGAGAACGACAACATTTTCAACATTGAGCTCGCCAAGACGATGAAAGAGTAAGTCTGAAACCAGAAGCATTCCACCATAAAACCGCGCGTGCATGAAGCATTATCTTTGCTTTCATATGAGCCAAGATGGCTGAAACATCTCCGGATCTGTATATTTTCAGGCAGCTGGGCGAGAAGACGATGCTGCAGAGTATAAGCAAGGCAGGCCACCTGGTGCACCTGGAGAGGCCCTGCGTCTACAACCGCCTCCTCAAGGAGTTCCTGGCGTCCGTCACAGCAACTGAAACCCCCAAGGAGTGACAGGGGATTAGGAAGGAATTGGAACCGAGTTCGACTAAGTTGGTCGCCTACGTTTGCCATGAATTCTGATTAATTCCAACACAAGTCTGCTCTGTCGAAATAATTAGAGAGAACGGATAGCCACCACCCCAATATGTCTATTGTATTATTGTTGTTGTTTGAGAAAGATTTTTCTGGCACGAGCTTAAGTGTAAGAATCAACGCTTCTCCCTTGATACTTGTCTTGTCGCTCAGGATCAACATACTACTGTCGGCAGAATTATAAGTGCCTGCGTGCTGAATTATAAGTTCAGCCTGAGAAAGCTGCTTTAGGAGCTCTACCAAATATGCCATGATATAATACGTGATCCATCACCATCTAGAGTTCAGTTATATCTGTTCCGGCATTCATAATAGATTTGATTATTTGAGGAATTGAGATCTAAAATCTAAAATCGGAAGCCAAGGCTATTATCGGTCAATCTCCGGTCGATTTCCATATTATGGGAGTAATCCTTTATAGCACTAGCATTTATTAATAGTGTTATACAAGATAATGAAGCAACTTTAAATATTAAAGTTAACAATAAAAAGGAATAAAAAAAGAATGAGAGAGGAATTGATTGAACAACCCTGCCTTATTCACAACTATTAAAAAGAATAAAAAAGAATAAAAGAGGATCTAGAATACCTTATATTTTGCTACAATTTTTGAACCTTGGATCTCTTATATTTGAGGATGGAGGGAGTGGATTTTTTTGACAAGTCCCTGAGGGGACGATAGTCCCCACAGATACGAGATACCGGCAAGACCGGGAATAAAAGGTTACAAAACGGAGTAAACTTCCAAGGTACATAACAGGTGCAAAACAGGAACACCAGCAATAGCAACACAGCACAGAAAAAACAACCACAAACATGATACATGAGGTGGAACAACAAAGCTACAGGCTTCAACATAACCTCCCATGACCAAGACTGAGGAAGCAGTATGTAGTTAAGGTTGGACAAGCCCAATTAAATTCAACAAAATACCTATCTAATCATGGATATTATAAAAACCACGTACACGCGGTCATGTACGCTAGTCAAGAAATAACCTAGAGCCGTACACCTGGTGCATGTGTTGTGCCCTCGAGGAATGTCGGGTTGGATTATCGAATATACTTAGCACATACGAGGTTGAGGTTATAGCAGCCACTCTGATTTGTCTTTACATACACAGCACAAGCACTCCATATGAGATATGCCCTCCGACAATAATGTTTTCCAGCGTTCTTTTCCCTCGGCATCAACGGCGACGTATCTTTCAAACGCTACCCACCAGCAGAGCACATCACTAATATCACCAGTTCAGAGCACGCCCAATTAACAAATCATTCTTCTGTGGAATGGCAAGTTCGTTCACGCTGCTCATACTCAGAGCCATGATGTCACCAAAACTAGACGTCTCTGCGCCAATGGCAACTTGTGTTGTGCTACCTGAGTCACTATCATAGCGAGCCTGGATGGAATAACTGATGACACGGCATCTTGCGGATATGCGCCTCAATGTCCACCGTTAGCTTCGTTCGACACGAGGGCTTTTTGCCTCGTCAAGTGCAGGTCAATTTCTCCCCCTTCGCTTTTATCCATAGTGTCATTTTTTTTATGGCTTCACAGATTTTACCGTTGTGAGTCTGCCACGCGACCTTTCGCTGTGCTGAACGTATCCGCCCCTAAAGTGCAATCAGGAGTGACGACGTTCTCGGTGTAGTACACCCAATAACCTGGCCAGCTTCCACGGTGTATTGTACGTAATGTGACGCAAGACACTCTACTTTTAACCCACGAAAAATCCGGTTCAATTTTTTTTCTCCTTTTTTTTAAAGAAAATTCAGTTCAGTATTTTGGCTCACTTCTAGTACCACTGAATGGCCAGCATGACAGTTGACAGGTAGCGAGCAAATGCCGGTAGTTTCGATGCAGCTTTCCTCTCGATCATGCTGGGGGATGCGTCGGGAGAATTAGACGCACATGACATGACTGCAAATGCAAACACACCAATCATGTACCAGAATTAGACGTACACGCCAAGTACATTCGGTCAGCAGCCACCGCCATGAACCCTATAAATACGGGACAGATGCATTGTAGGGGCCTCCACAGCCATCACATACACATGCTCCCGAACAACAAGCACAACGCAGCAGTCCTCGCAAAAAGAGTGTGAGGCCATGTCCACGGAGAACTACGACCCCTACTACCCCGACCAGCCGGTGGTCGACCAGTACCTCCCGGTATGGGCCAGGCAGCCGGCGTTCGGCCCCAAGCCCGCCTTCGTCTGGGCCGACGACGATGACCGGCGTGCCGGCGGTGGTGGCACGCCGTCGTACACCGCACTGACATACTCCGAGCTGAACGCCGCCGTGGAACGCATGGCTCTGGCCCTCCTCGAGACAGCACGCAGGGGGGACACCGTCCTCCTGCTCGGGTCGCCGGGCCTCCGCCTCGTCAAGCTCATCTTCGCGTGCCAGCGCGCCGGCCTCGTCGCCGTGCCCATCGTGCCGCCCGACCCGTCCAAGCTCGACACGTCGTCCGCACTGCAGGGCGCGGCTCACGGCCATCTTCTGCGCGCCGTGTCGCAGACGAGGCCGGCCGCGGCTGTCGCCGACGCCGGGTACATTGACATGATCATGGAGTCACCAGTCGCCGCGCTGAAGCGTCTGCGGTGGGTGTCGGTCGCCCACTTGGAGAGGGAGAGCCGTGGTGGTTCGGGTGACGTGGCCGCCGATGATGATGAGCCGCCGGGACGACGGACACGGACGGCCTATAGGGGCTGCGCGCCGGGCGAGACGTACCTGATCCAGTACACGTCGGGCGCGACCGGCGAGCCGAGGCCCGTGGTGGTCACCGCGGGCGCCGCGGCGCACAACGTGCGCGCGGCCAGGAAGGCGTACGACCTCCACCCGGCCAGCGTCATCGCGTCGTGGCTGCCGCAGTACCACGACTGCGGCCTCATGTTCCTCCTCCTCACCGTCGTCGCCGGCGCCACGTGCGTGCTCGCCTCGCCCGCGGCCTTCCTCAGGCGCCCGCGCCTCTGGCTCGAGCTCGTCGCCGAGTTTCAGGCCACGTGCACGCCCGTCCCGTCCTTCGCGCTGCCGCTGGTGCTCAAGCGCGGGGTTGGCTCCGAGCACGGCACGCGCCCGCTCGAGCTCGGGAGCCTACGGAACCTTATCCTCGTAAACGAGCCGATCTACAAGTCATCGGTCGACGAGTTCATGGAAGAGTTTGGCCGCGCCGGCCTGGACGCGTCGTCCATCTCGCCGTCCTACGGACTGGCCGAGAACTGCACATTCGTGTCCACCGCATGGCGCGGAACGGAACCGAAACTTTGCGGTGGACGGTTGAGCCTCCCGTCGTACAAGAAGCTACTGCCATCCGCCAGGCTTTCTTCTTCTTCCAGCGAGGAGACGGAGATCGATATCGTCGTTGTTGATGGACACACCGGAGAGCCTGTGGAGGACGGCGTCGAGGGGGAGATATGGGTTTCCTCGCCGAGCAACGCGTCGGGCTACCTCGGGCACCCGTCGTCGGCGAGCCGCGAGGTGTTCTGCGCGAGGCTGCCAGGGCGAGCCACCGGCCCGAGTTTCGTGCGCACGGGCGACTGCGGCGTGGTGCGCGGAACGGAGCGGTATCTCTACGTACTCGGCCGGAGCGCGGATGCCATTGCCATCGATGGGCAACGGCGGCGCGTGCACGCGCACTACATTGAGACGGCGGCTTTCGGCAGCTCACCGGATTCACTGCGTGGCGGCTGCATCGCCGCCTTTGCCGCGACGCCGTCGCCTTCGTCGTCCGTGGTGGTCGTCGTGTCAGAGCTGCAAAAGGGGAGAGGCGGCGGCACCGTGCATCTTCGTAGCATCTGCGATGGCATAAGACGAGCCGTGTGTAAAGAAGAAGGTGTAAATGTCGGGTGCGTCGTGCTGGCCGAGAGCGGTGGCGTGCCCAAGACTACGTCAGGGAAGCTGCGACGAGGCTCCGCGAGGGATATGCTCGCCGGCAAGCTGATGATCCCCAAGGTTTTCGAGGTGCTCTACGACTATGACGAAAATGCCAAGGGCCGTGCCACGTGGGTACGAGGTGGCGACAAGGAGACGGAGGTGCGTGGAACGAGCACTAGTTGGGTACTGGGAGACGCCGGAGGGGACACCGCAGGCATGGTCATCATGGCCAGATCAGGGAATGCAAGTCACCGCCTGCGTTTGCAATCATCTCTCTGAACTGAAGCTTAGTTGCTTGTGCAACTGACGAGACTGCAGTCCAGTGTGAATTGTGCGGCCATTTTAATTTTATCCTTTTGCTTTCTTGCATGCGGCGGAGAAAAATCTTTCTACGACCAATATACCAAACTACGTAAATAAACAAAGTAATATACAGACGCAGCTTCGTTTTTTATTGTCCATTCATAAAGAAGGCAGATGAATGGATGCATGGCATGGCTTCTCCACATGATGCGCAAGACCACCCTCGCTTGCTCCGGGCATTGTTCTCGTCCACAACCATTCCATCCGTTCATATTTGTAAAAGAGAACCGAAAATAGGAGGCAAGTCCCTCCTATATAAATGCGAGCGCTCAATCGATCATATTCATTCAACAGGGATCACATCCTCAATAAGTCAGCAGAGCGCCGAGGAGAGTTAGAAAGATCAGCAATGGCGAAGTTTTCTAATAGTGCCATAGTTCTCCTAATGCTGCTCATCGCAGCATGGAGGACGACGCCGGTGATGTCCCATGCCAAGCCGACCAAGCCAGCGGAGCCGGAGCTAGACTATGGACCCAGCTCCGGACGCCGGTAGGCACCGTGAAATATTCTCATTAATCCCCCATTGCCATGCATGTAGATTGCTCATGGCTTGAGCTGCTCTTGGTTTCTGCTTCAGATATATATATATATATATATATATATATATATATATATATATATAAGTAACTAATCTTTTCTTTTTCTTTCTCGGGGTTTGATCAGGGTGAAGAATGAGAAGGCGGCAAGCACGCCAACACCAGATCCGGACTTTACCAAGGCGGCTGGTGAGGCTACACTTTTGCTCAGGGCCAAGCAAGAAATGTCAAAGCGCATGGTGAAGCACATAGAGGGCATCGTCGCAAACGTGAGATTCGCGCTCCATCTGAAACTGATGCTGCTGATCAAGTCGGCGGAGTTCATGAGGGCCATGGCCGGAGAGGTCGCGGAGCAGATGACCATACTTGGCAAGCAACACGCTAGTGTTGCCGCCGCCGACATCATTGCAGCGCTCAGGCTTCAGCAGGAGATTCTTAAAAAGACCACGGAACGTTGCAAGGCTATCTCCACCGATGCTGCAATGGCACAGAAGGCCAAGATTGAGATGTTGAAGGGCGTGGCGCACAACCTCTGCACGGTTGCAGGAGACATAGCCATCAGCATGTCATCGCTAGCTGAGGTTGCAGCAGGTAATAATAATGCTTAATTAATACCGCCTGTTGTCAATATATATATAGTCACCTCAAGGTTTAGATATATCCTCCATCCTAGTTAGTAACAGAAAATACATTAACTGAGAAAGGTAAACTATATCAATAAATCATGCCTTGATTATATAACATAGTACTCCTAGCCATATCTACAAAATATATATATATATATATATATATATATATATATATATATATATATATATATATATATATATATATATATATATATATATATATATATATATATATATATATACACAGAGAGAGAGAGAGAGAGAGAGAGAGAGAGAGAGAGAGAGAGAGAGGATGCAAACAGGCACAATTAAGCTAGCAGCATGGCTACAAATACACCACCGCTAATGTTTGTAGACTTTTAACATATAATGAAATGTAACATAATGTTTTTGCTTACATTGTAGGAGTGTCTGGTCGGGTAGTAGTTGGTGTCGATATCAATGTTCGTACTGATATTGAGGCTAAAGCTCTGGCTAAAGTTGAAGCTGAAGCCGTTGCCGATGCTCAAGCTCTGGATAAAGCTGAAGATGAAACCGTAGCTGCGGCTGGAGGAGAAGCTAAAGCAAGTAAGAGCAGCAGTGTCAGCGCAGGTGGCGATGCTGGAGGATATGCAGGCGGCAAAACTGATGCTGATGCAACTGCTTCTGGTGGCGGGAAGGCAGGGGTCGATGCCGGTGCTGGAGTTGGTGGTGATGCAAGCGTTTCTGGAGGCGCAAAGATTGGAGGTGGTGTAGCTGCAGGTGCAAAAACTGGCGCTGATATAGGAGGAAATATTGATGGGGGTGCTGACGCTAGTGCTGGAGCTGGTGCTAATGCCAAAGCCAAAACTGTTGCTAAGGGTAAAGCAGGTGCACGTGCTAAGGCTGGTGTTTCTGGGGGTGCTAGAATTGGTGGTGGCATCCACTTCTCTGCAGGTGCTAGAATTGGTGGCGGCGTTAAAGGAAAAATTGGTGGAAGCGGCAAAGCCAAAGCTGGCGCCGGTGGCAGTATCTCAAAGAGTGCTGAAGTAGGTGGAGAAACTGGGGGAAATGTTGGTGGGAGTGGCAAAGCTGAAGCTGGTGCCAATGCTGATATTGGTGCTACTGTGGGTGATGGTGTCTCTGGAGGTGCCAAAGTTGGTGGTGGCATTGGAGGAAAGGCAGGAGGGAATGGAAATGCATATACTGGAGCTGATGCCGGTGCAGGTGTTTCAGGTGGAGGATCTGGTGGCGCCGATGCTGATATTGGTGCTACCGTGGGTGCTGGTGTCTCTGGAGGTGCCAAAATTGGTGGTGGCGTCAAAGGAAATACAGGAGGGAGTACTGGAACTAGTGCCGATCACAGTGTTTCGGTGGAGGATCTGGTGGTGCCGATCTTTGGTATTGGTGCTACTGTGGGTGCTTGTGTCTCCGGAGGTGCCAAAATTGGTGGTGGCGTCGGAGGAGCACGGGAGTGTAAAAAGCCTATCTTTGAACTGATGCCGATCACGGTGTTTCGGTGGAGGATCTAGTGGCGTCGATCTTTGGTAGTGGTGCTACCGTGGGTGCTGGTGTCTCCGGAGGTGCCAAAATTGGTGGTGGCGTCAAAGGAAATGCAGGAGGGAGTATTGGAACTAGTGCCGATGCAGGTGTTTCCGGTGGAGGATCTGTTGGTGCCGATGCTGGTATTGGTGCTACCGTGGGTGCTGGTGTCTCCGGAGGTGCCAAAATTGGTGGTGGAGTCGGAGGAAATGTAGGAGGGAGTGGCAAGGCCTACACTGGAACTAATGCCGATGCAGGTGTTTCCAGTGGAGGATCTGGTGGCGTCGATGCTGGTAGTGGTGCTACCGTGGGTGCTGGTGTCTCCGGAGGTGCCAAAATTGGTGGTGGCGTCAAAGGAAATGCAGGAGGGAGTATTGGAACTAGTGCCGATGCAGGTGTTTCCGGTGGAGGATCTGGTGGTGCCGATGCTGGTATTGGTGCTACCGTGGGTGCTGGTGTCTCCGGAGGTGCCAAAATTGGTGGTGGCGTCGGAGGAAATGTAGGAGGGAGTGGCAAGGCCTACACTGGAACTAATGCCGATGCAGGTGTTTCCGGTGGAGGATCTGGTGGCGTTGATGCTGGTAGTGGTGCTACCGTGGGTGCTGGTGTCTCCGGAGGTGCCAAAATTGGTGGTGGCGTCAAAGGAAATGCAGGAGGGAGTATTGGAACTAGTGCCGATGCAGGTGTTTCCGGTGGAGGATCTGGTGGTGCCGATGCTGGTATTGGTGCTACCGTGGGTGCTGGTGTTTCCGGAGGTGCCAAAATTGGTGGTGGCGTCGGAGGAAATGCAGGAGGGAGTGACAAGGCCTACACTGGAACTAATGCCGATGCAGGTGTTTCTGGTGGAGGATCTGGTGGCGTCGATGCTGGTAGTGGTGCTACCGTGGGTGCTGGTGTCTCCGGAGGTGCCAAAATTGGTGGTGGCGTCAAAGGAAATGCAGGAGGGAGTATTGGAACTAGTGCCGGTGCAGGTGTTTCTGGTGGAGGATCTGGTGGTGCTGATGCTGGTATTGGTGCTACCGTGGGTGCTGGTGTCTCCGGAGGTGCCAAAATTGGTGGTGGCGTCGGAGGAAATGCAGGAGGGAGTGGCAAGGCCTACACTGGAACTAATGCCGATGCAGGTGTTTCCGGTGGAGGATCTAGTGGCGCTAATGCTGATATTGGTGCTACCGTGGGTGCTGGTGTCTCTGGAGGCGCCAAAATTGGAGGTGGCATCGGAGGAAATGCGGGAGGAAGTGGTAATGCCGTTGCAGCTGGAGGAGCTAAGGCTGGAGGGAGCAAATCATCAGGGGGTGGGTCGGATTTTGGCTATGGTGCATCGAGCAAGGAATTATAGATGGTGATGATGGCCACAGTAAGAATGATGCATTCAGTATGCTCGGTCCCAAGGAATTTATTCCTGTAATTTTTGTCACCGTGTGTTGTTTTACCACGTACCAGTCAATAGTGTGGAGGCAATATGGTAACTCCCCTTGACTGGACAATACAATAACCTTTTGTATGTTTTATTGTTTATTAATTAACATTGCCATGTATGTAAACCAGAACGGCTGAGGCTGATTCTCATGATAAATATGACATTTCTAGTTCCATGGCTTCATCTTGATATCGTTTTCTTCTTGATATTGTTTTCTTGAAAACGTCCACCCTCTTCAATCACCCCAAACGCACCACCTCGAAAATGTCAGACAGACTAATAACGTGTAAAAAGCAACTAAGTGTATTGTATATTTGTATTAGATAACCTAGCATACTACAAAATTTGAGTTCCTGACTTGCACCAAGTTAAGAGAAGAAAAAAGAATGTAGTACCGTTACCGGCCTTTTAGATGAAGCAATAGGCAAGCACAGAAGAATCGACCACCGAATATCAACAAGGGGTCGTGTCTTTAGAAAAAACGATCTATGTTGCACTGCTGCGATCAGGGCTACCCATGTGATCTCGTTACAAGGATGAAACTGGCAAGCTATAGTGGGATGTCATTGTCTTCTTGTTCCACACATAGAGTCGAGTGTGGGGGATCTGGAGGACATTATTGTTCCAACCACAGAGGCATTGGCTCCTCACTCCACAGTTAGGCCTCAAGCCCGCTAGAGCATTACCTCGAGTGCCCATACGTCTGCTTAGTGGAAGTGGATCCTTCACTAGTTTCCTGCAAGCTCGGCTTGCCCACTTGAAGGAACCTGCAATGTAGTTCTGCACACAGGTAGATGCTCAGTGCACGGAACGGAGGCACAGTAAGGTGCAGGAGGCAACGGATCACCATAGTAGCAGCAGTAAACATGGGAGGAGACAAGGTCCGCGACAACCTACGGTTGTACATCAAAGAGCAACTCCAGTAGGACCTCTACTTAAACCCACCATCAAACCAAATTTTAGGACTTCAGATAAAAACAGAGGTCCAACAGGACTTCTATTAAAGCCCTCAAATTTGAGGGAACCCTCAAATCTTTCTTTGGCCCTCGAATCGCGATTACAGTCGGTTTCGTGCTTGCGCTTGGTCCCGCTCATCTCCCCTGCCTGCCTTCTTCCCCTCCCACGAGCGCCGCCAGGTTTCCCAATCCCTCACGCCCAGCCCGCACCTCGCCGTATCTCCCACGCGTGCCTTCCTTCCTTGTGCGGCCTCCGGTTGCCAGTTCCTTCCCTCTCCCGATTCCAGTGTCCCTTTCCTCCCATGATGAGACAGGTTCCTTCCCTCTCCCGACGTGGCGCATGAGCCAGTGCTCTTCCACTAATTCACAGTGTTTTGGCCTCTCCCGACGAGGCGCATGTTTTGGCCAAGAAAGTCAATGATAAGTGGGTCGGTCCTAGGTATCATTCTCAGTTGGAATGGATTTGCGGCCTTTATTTTAAGGGCCACTGCAAGAGTGCATCTCAAGACCTCAAAAGTGGGAGAGCGCTTAAATATAAAGGGCTACTGTTGAATTTGCTCAACAGGAAAAATTTGGGACCGCAGGGGTGCCATTGTACAAAGGGAGAAGGCATGGGCTTCTTTTTGTGTACCCAAACTAAGAAATTATCTGAACAGTTAATTAATCAAGAACCCAGTGTTGCAACCGAGGATTCACTGGCACTATTTTACTTTGATCAATGGCTAATACGATCTAAAACGAAAGAGAACCTTAGCTCACTGTGCTACCCAACGCAGCATGACTGGAATTTGTTCATTTACACCCAGAAACATTTTTCGAGAACATGCCCGACCATATATTTTGTTCAGATGAAAGACAAATGACTGTTGCAATGAGCAACAGTACAACGACGCAGCCTCGATGAGGGCCTCGAAGCGCAAGGAGACACCAAATCACCAATACATTATACATGGAGGGACATGACCTTGCACCACAATCAAAGGAGATTTCAACGGATAGTCAAGCAACTAGAGAGCACGAAGAGAAATTGACTACCCAAGCTTCAAAAGCGACCAGCAGACCAACAAGCAGACGACTCGGCTCCAAAGAGCAGCAATGCCCCCCCGCCCAGCAATGGTTTCACAGCGTGGCCTGGTGGCGCTCACCCAGGAAGGTTGATCCAGCCGGGAGCTGCATGGCCCAGACACTTTTACCAGGGTTAGAACTTAGAAGCAAACAGGCCCTAGTGTAGAAGTTGCCCACTAAGCCCGAGGGGTGGCATTAGTGCACTTAGGTTTAGCTCTGGTGGTTTACCCAAGGACCAAAAAGATTTGGACCATACGGGAACAACATTGTTACGTATAACTTCCACAAACCTACTAAAAGAACCATTTTAGAAATAATCCACCGTCAGTGCACTGCCACCGAAATTACTTACAGCCAAACGACGCAAATGTAGTTGTTGTGATAAAGGATATGCTTTTAGTCTAGTGTATCAAGAAATACCCTAACTATCAGGAGAACCACTCATGCAAGTAATTAGCAGCAGCGAGCTGATTTGCTATGTCTACGATCACCAGTCACCAACTTATCATTGCTACGCCTACTTCTTTCCACGGGGCTTTCCTTTCACATCAGATTCCTATGAACCAAGACAATGACAATATAAGGAGAAACTGTTAGATAAGGAACAGAATAAAGGCAGCCTGGATATGTAATATTTTAAATTTACACATTCAACAGCTATCCTTTCTTACATTCAACATCATTATCTAAACAAAATCATTCAACGAAAACTTCTAATCATTCAACCCACAAGAGATTAACCAACGAAAACTTCTAATCATTCAACAGCATTATCTAAACAAAATCAAATGAAAATAAGCGTATAAAATTATACAAGGCATTTTGTAAAAAATCAAACCTGTACACTATGTAGAAAGATATTTGTCTTTGCAGTAGAAGGATTGTGCTTCTCAGCACCCTTGCTCCAATCATAGCATACCTAAACAAATGAGAGCATCAGCAAATTTGGATTTCTAGTCCACCTGTCTCAGCAAGAGGAAATAAACTAAAGCCTGAAAAATCATTAAATTTTCAGACTAATAACTTGAGGAAATTCAAGCCAAGTATGGTTGACAACTACTATGAAGCATGTGTATGTAGGAACCTCTCCACCTTGCACCCCCAATAGTATAGTGGTTTAACATAAAAAAATTATATTTACAGTAACCGTCCGGTCCCCTTCTTTTTAATATAGCGGGCAGCTCTCCTGCTGGTTCATTTTTTTTAAATATACTATATTATATATTTCCAAGAAGTCAAACCTATTTGGTAGGATTAAACAATCAGGACACAAAATCATTCAGCAGTATGACACTACTATAAGACTGGGAATGCAGAAGAGTTCAATTCCTATAGGAACATTAGGAAATTCTAGTGTTATATGTACCTTCATCTTAGCTACTACTCATTATAATTCTACCTATATAACAAAAATACCAAAAGTAACTAGGCGTATCTGATAGTCTACAGATGCTGACAACAACAAATGACCTACCGCATAAGCAAATATAGAGCCATCCTGATTGAATGTACTGCATGTGATGGGTGCTGGACACTTATTAAAAGCCTGTAAAAGAAAATGGCACATCAGAGGTACATATTTAAATGCATAGAAATTTCCTTAATAAGGTTCCGAATTGTTTGGCAATATCAAGTATAAGCACACTTTTTCCCTCTAAATGACCAATCACTATGATACACACTACTAAAAAAATCTTTTCATGGTGTGCATCATTTGCCAGTAATATTTAACACCAGGCAATGAAATATAAACATAATAATAAGCAAAGGAAAACATAGCATAGTAGAATTGGAATTTCATGAAGTGTTAGTGGTTTTTCTGCTGCTCGTTAGAAAATAAAGTACCCTTGACAGGCATGAGCAGTTTTACAACTGACTGTCATGAACAAAGAACTTCAGTCTGGAAAACTTCAAAATGTTTTCTGTTCAGGTAAATCTGACTTTTCAACAAATCCTAGCATTCAAAAAATGGATATTGCTGAAGGAAACTGATTTTACTTCGCAAATATATACCACCCTGTGTCCCAAATCATAGGTCGTTCTAGATATATAATAAATTGGAACGGGGAAGTATCATTTTGGGTTTCCAATGCAACACTTCCCAGAAATGCAAAAAGTATGTTGGTCAAAGACAAAATGTTTAACTGCATGCATTCTAGAATAAAAGTTAATTGACTGGATGCAGTAGCTCAAAAAGAACAACAGCCACAATGCCACATTGTGTGACTGTCACTATATTATTATTTACCTATTCAATTTCATAAAATAAGTTTACATTAAAAAAAATTATACGTTAAAAGCATGACAATAAAAGTACTCAGATCAATATAAAATGTGTAATGTATTTTTAAAGAATATTAAGGGAAACACGACCTTCAGCCTTTGCTTACTGTCCTTGTCCCAAAAGTTGAAACCTCCATCAGAGCCTGTAGTAGCGAATGTACCATGAACCTGGGTAGAATGCATACCATGACAATTAGAATTGCTCTGAATGGACAATGAAGTAGTTGTTGACTAATCTTCAGTTGGTTAACAAGTATTCAGTAGTTATAGTTTAAATGAACATCCAAGGAATTGTGAAGTTTCTACCCACAAAACTTTATTCAATATGATAAAGAGATTAAAACAAGACATTTGAATAATATATTATAGAAGGAAGAGGTCTTACAGGATGAAAGTTCAATGAGTTAACCGAGTATATATCATTGCCATCACGGTGACACTTGAATGTGAAGTTTTTTCCTTGCTGAGACTCATCCACGTGATGAACACCGACTCGTCCTTCTATAGACCCAACCTTCAAATCAAAACAAGTTAAGGGTCAATCAGATGTGCAAAATATTTTTAAAAGTAGTTGACCATTTTCCTTCTGCCACAAATAACTGATCCAATCACTTCGGAGAACAATACCAGACTAAAACAGTAAAGAAAGGATGATAACAACAGGCACAGACAAACAAGAAAAAGGATAATGTATATATCACAGAGTTAATAAGCTATATTCATGGCGGACACATTGGGAGAAATTTTTTCAACAAGGATTTGAAAAACCATACTGATGAGGAATTAAATGAATTTCTAATGGCCCTTGTGTTCAATTCTAAAGGGTCCGTATCTCCACCACTTTTTAAAAAGAAAGCAATGATATGGCAATAGTGACCTTCCAGTCTGGGATTGCATGATGAAAAAATCAACACAGGAGTCACCGTTAAAAAGTAGGTGTGATGCTTACAATGATAACTTTTAACTTGTATCTTGTTTTACGGAACAACCACAGTACTCTGTTCAATATTTACCTCCTTAAGATTATAGTAATTCTTTACAACACTGTTCTATCATGTTTCCAAAAAATAGAAAACAAAACACTATATGATATTATGAGATCAAAGCCCACTAGCTTTTTTTTCGTTTATCTTGTGCTCTTATTTTGTCAACCCATATTGCAGAGATGTACGCAGAAAAGCAAATGTAGGGCATTACCAAAAAACCTTGTTGATCAGGAAATGCAGCAAGACACCTTGTCTGGAGCTTCAAAGGTGATGTAATCCTCTTGAATTCAGCCTTTTACAAGGTTAGAGAATGTCAAAAGTGCAAATATGATCGAGATGTACAGAAGTAAAATATTTTAATGGATAAACCTGCATACTTCAGTTACATGAAACAAGGCAACATCAGTTTATTACTTGCTTATCTTTGCCAACAGAAAATGAAAAGGGACCATTTTGTATCCTCATGCTTTTTTTTTTTTAAAAAAACATAACACATTTGTGATTGAAAATTATATTACTTTTCTGTTTTTCACTAACAAAATTTTCAGCAAACGAGTGGCAGACTAATTTCTTCCACAGTTTCATATACTCCCTCTGTTCCAAATTATAATTCATTTTGGCTTTTCTAGGTACATAGTTTTTGCTATGTATCTGGACACAATGTATATCTAGGTGCATAGCAAAAACTTATACCTAAAAAAACCAAAACGCCTTATAACTTGGAACGTGGGGAGTACAATTGAATTGACTGAAAAATGAAATGGATTGAAGCACTGAATGCAAGGCCAAGGGTTACAATTGATATCTTCTGACCAGGGTAGAACTATACTAATGAATTGGTCTCAATGTAACGTGATACATTCAGAATTTCAGATAGTTTTAAGTCGAAATTCTCAAGAACGAGTCCTGATTATGCTCTCATATATCAGCGACCCTAACAGATAATAAATCAGTATTCATGAAACAAGGCCTGGTCACATATTTGATCAGGTTAGAAGTTCTAAATCCTTACAATTATTGAATAACCAGAATAAAGGCCAAAACATCTAAAGGGCCACAGAGGAGAAGAGAGCAACATTACCTGTGGATTCTGCAGATTGAAGACTATTATGTTGCGATCAGCAGTGCCAACCACCATGAGAGGATAAGAAAGCGACAGAGCATAGCAACGCTCAGGAAGTTGCTGAACATGCACTGGTTGGGGTTGCCTAATGTCCCAGTACCTTAGCAAATGGAAAAATGGTTGACAAAATGAGGACAACCATTATGATAATGACAGACTGACGATTAGGTTCTTTGCATTTGTAATTATGTAAGCAATTAGGACATCAAACTGCTGACCTACAACTACAAGTCAAGTCCTACGACACTATGTGGTTCTTGGTGATAAGCCCAATGTTAAGGTTCTCTGCAAATTATCTATGAAGAAATTGCATTACCGCTCCTCCATTATTATGCAATACATCACCATTCACCAGCAATAAAACATTGGACAGGACTAGATGTCAATGCACAAGTTGATTGTAGAGGAATATCAAATTTCAAGAAAGAAAATGTGGACGAATCTAGTGTGTTTTGTCGAATTTCCGCACCTCAAAGTCTTGTCCCAGCTCCCACTGACAAGAAGATTCATCTGTGGCACCCAAGCGAGTTCTTTAATAGGCGCCTCATGCCCTGAGAAAGCCGTGGGCTGGCCACCTGAGAGCAGAGGCCACATCTTAACCTGCTTATCACAGCCTCCTGTGAAAACAGTCATCCCATCATCCTTCCAAGCCGAGCACAGCACCTGCACGAAACAAAACCAGCCTGCAGGTCACATACAGAGGGTCCAGAATTAAGACCTCTAGATTCATAATCAGTTAATATGAGCAAATGCTAAGACCAATCACTTCTGGGGAAAAAGGTGCCAGGACAACACAATACCGGTTGATCGTGCGAAATGGAGGCCTTCGCTTGGCACGCCCCACCAGCCATGACCTCCCAGCACAGAACCTGCACCCAAGTCCCAACACCAAAAAGGCCAAGCGCATTTAATAACACAAATAATAAGTATATTTCCGTATATCTTCTGATGCCTACGGCGGCGACCTCACCTGGTTGTCCCATGAGGTAGAAACGAGGTGGTTCGCCTTGGGGCTGAAGCTGAGGCTGGACACCGAGTCCCCAGGCGCCGGAGTCACCTGTAACAGACAACGGAAACACCACCCGGTCAAATCGAACCCTGGGGATTGTTTTTTTCTTTTCACCCGGCAAGGCGGCCGCAGGAGCGCGCGCACACACCTCGACGGATTTGTTGGGGTTCTGGTTCGCGGCGCTGGCGCCGGCGGTACCGAAGCTCGCCATTGCGGTCAGCGGGTGGGGTCGGGTGGCGTTCGACGAATTTGGGAGCGGAGAGGTGGGAGGAGGGAGGGAGAGGGGAGGCGGGGATTTCGGAGGTTTTGGGGGAGGGTTTTGGTTTATAAACAACGGTCAGGAACGGAGTCGCGTGAGATCGACGCCCCGCGCGGTTGCGCCAGCCCGCGGGCCAAAAGCTGGTCGCGTGGGATGGACGCTTTGTGTGTGAAGCGCGGTTGGGCTTCTGGACCGGCAGTGGCCGCCGCCCGCCGCGGGCCTGGTGGGAACGTAGGACTATGCTAAGGCCGTAAGGCGTGTGATTCATTGGTACTTGGTAGGCCTTGTTGGGTTGGGTGACGGCGGCGGCCGGCCGGCTCATTTGGTCTTGGTCTTGCCGGACTGCGGGCCTGCGGCTCGGGGCTGGGGGCGACGAGCCGCCAGCCTGGCTCGGACTTTAGCGGCTGGCGCCTGCTGCTGCTGGGCGCGTGTGAAGACGCAACCTCGGCGCTGGACTCTGCTGAGTGCGCCGGCCTTGGGCACCCTTGCTCGACTGCTCCTCTGTGGCGGAACTATAGGGCCTGTTTGGTTACATGTCTATCAGAAAATAAGCCAGGCTAGTCTAACTGCCTCCAGCGAGACTTGTTTGGTTGTATAAGTCTAACTAGTAACTAATTTATTTGGTTTGGCTTCGATAGATTCACCTCTTCTTTGTGCAGGTGAGTTTACCACCTTTGAGTCAATTCATCGGGCATGTGATGAGCACCACCTTCTGCAGCGCGACATGGTCAATTGCCCAGCAGCCAAACGCCGCCGCAAGGCCAAAGAAGCCTCGGACGAGCACAACCAGATCGCAGACCGCAGTCCGGTTTGAAGAGGTAGAAGACGTGGCCATCTCCCATGGTCTCCAGACTCCATCAGCTTGACGCCGGCGCGATTCCCCCAGGTCGCGGCCCGCCTTGGCACGCGCGGCCGCGCCACCTGAGGAAGTCGCCCTCCGCGGCGCACACCATGACGCGCTCCTAGGGACGAGGACGAGCCGCGCTCCCAAGCATGGCCGACGGGGACGAGCTCACGCAGGGAGGGCCGCCGGAGACGGCGCAGCCGAGGAGGAGCTCACACAGGGAAGCCGCGGCTGAGAGCAGAGAGCGCAGGCCGCGGACAACGCCGTGTTCAGGCAGGCGCCCAGGGGCGGGACCGCTGCCGTCAACGAAGCGCGCGTTCCGGGAGGAGCATGGGAGGAGGACGAGCTTCCGGCGCGCCGCTAGGTGACCCGCCGCCCCTTCTGTCCCCCATCCGCGTGAGGTCAAGGCCGTGCCCCTGCTGCGCGAGACGACCACCGCGCCGTGCGAGGTATGGCTGGGCGACCCTGCCGCCGCGAGCGAGTAGGTCGATCTGCTTGTGCTTCGCCGCGGGCACGGGGAGGCTTGAGCATGGCGCCGGAATCGGGAGGACGGGAGGTGATGGGAACCGAGTCTTGCGCCTAGCCAAGCCTGGCCACGAGAAAACAAGATGGGCATCCGTTTCCAGCGAGCCAGGCCGAGGAGCGGTCGGTGGCTGAGCTGCACCTGGCTAAAGGGTCCTACAGGAAACCAAACTCTAAATCACTTCTTAGGGGTGTTTTTGATGCCTAGTTAGTCCATGCTCCATAAAAAGTTTATTAAATAGCAACGAAATGTAAAAAAGCTGGAGTTTGTGGAGTGCAAAAATTTGCAATCTCAAACCCTTTTTCAAGATGGGCATCCGAGTGTGAGCCAAAACCATTTGGCTAAAAAAAGTGGGGAGCTGAGCTGCAAAGGCGTGGGCGGGTCCCCAAACAACCAAAAGCAACCCATTAGTGCAGTGGGTTGACCACCTAGCCAAATAGACCCATGGCGCAGATCTGGTGAACTACGCCAGACTCTGCTGAATGCGCCGTCGAGAGAGCGGATTTGGTGGGTGGCACCGACCCCTGCGCCCTGATGGTGCTGGCGGCCCACGGGCGGACGTGGAGTCGCGTAGCGGATGGGGTGGGGTGGGCGTTGGCCGGGTGGGGTGAGCGAGAGGGTCCGAAGGTTGAGTTTCTGAGTATACGGCGAACATGTCCGTAAGTTGCAACAGAACCAACTACGTAGCAATGCTAGGACATTTGAGAGTCAAACTTTTTCAAGTTTGACTAAAATTATAGAGAGAAACACAAAGATTGATGACATCAAATAGGTATAATATGAAAATATAACTAATGAAGAATCGAATGATACTTACTTGGTATGATAAATATTATTATTTTGTTATATAAATTTAGTCAAACTTGAAAAACTTTGACTCTCCAAAATTCTTGGAATGACTTACAATTTAGGATGGAGGGAGTATTTTGCTATTTAATATTAGGTAAATAATAGTACATAATCTCTGTCCTAAAATAAAAGAAGTTTTGGCTTTTCGAGAAATCAGTTTTTTTAACTTTGACCAATTATATATAAAAGAATATTAATATTTATAATACATAATTAGTATCATTAGATAGATCGTTCAATATACTTTTATAATAAACTTATTTAGAGATATAAATGTTGCGCGTATTTTCTACGAACCTAGTCAAAGTTGAAAAAATTTGACCTGCACGCATCCCATAGCGACACAGACGGAGTATAGATTAACGTTGATATTGATGAAGGGTCGTTGAAATGGATATATTTTAATCTTTACTTTCTTATTTTTAATCATTGTAAAGCTAAAATTTTAGAGTTTTAATAAATTTATTTATTATTCTTAATTTTGTAGATGATTGATTGATGTGGCTAATGAGGTCCCTTGCCGTCTCACGTGAGGGCTTGTCCAACGCGCCAACGTGGCGTGCCCCCAAACTCCACCTCGGCTATGGGTATCCATATCATCTGAGCTAGTGGCCTCACGACCAACAGAGACGTCTGCAGAAGCAACATTGGGTTGGTCTAGAGAAAAGCTGAGGACAACACTGAAGCAAGCGTTGGAGCGAGAGAGTAGTTCCTTGGTGACGTACGTATGTTACAGCATAGGCTAAAGCGAAGATGCAAAATGGGTATGTGGTCCCAATGTAACATAATATATTAAGATATACAATTGAATTTTGAAGCTGCTCTTTTACTGCTCTCATTGGAAGATAAACTGCCTAGGTACACTAATCAACGCCTCGTACGATGAAAGCTCTAGTTTGATTTTAGTTAATTGATGAAATCTATTTGGATTAATCCTATGCTCTAAGTGTGGAATTGAGATTGGTTGGTCCAACTCAAATGAAGGAGCTAGATGGCACTCATGGATGGGGATGGCCACATGAAATGAAGTCCATGGTGGTGGTGTGGACATGTGATGATGATCAAGCTCCGGACTTGGAAAAGAAGAAAGGAAAAAACAAAATGGGCTCAAAGGCAAAAGTGATACTATAGGGTTGTTTTGTTTTCGGTGATCAAGACACTATAGAGAGTGTGATCACAGTTAGGATAGATGGTCGTACTATAAAGAGGGGACCTCTTATCGAACAACTTGATCATCTAGTGCCACTAGGTGTTGGAAAACATGCATATGCATTTTAGGCCTAGTGCACAATCGGTGAGCAGTGATTAACCTTTAAAAAATGATTGTGAAAATGTTAACACACTTGCACGTGATGGTGAAACACTTGGAGTATTAGCACATTTGCAAAGATGGTGAAAAAGGTGAAGAAAAAGGAGGCTTTGCCGGGCTCGGTGTGCTGCCCCGAAGGCACCACCATGCCTTGTCCGGTGCACCGCCACCCCTGTGGCGATGACTGGCTAAGGAGGCCGAGAGGGAGGTGTTCTCGTGGGGCACCACCACCCTGTCCGGTGGCACCGCCACCCCTAGGGCGGTGCCCACCAACGCCGTGTCCGGTGATCCCGCAGAAGCTGGCTCCAAGGGGTAACATCTCTATTTGCTTGTGGGCTTATAAATAGAGTTTGTGGCCGACCTTGGCCACTCTCTTGGCACTTCCTACACCTGTATACACCCTTTGAGAGCTAAGCACACCACTCCACTCACTTGCACACTTGATTTCATCATCTTGAGTGAGATTGGAGAGCCTCTAGTGCATTGCTTAGTGTTCTAGCATCTTGTGGCACTAGTTGGGCGATTTGTGCTGGTGGAGATCTTGTTACTCTTGGTGTTTGCTGACACCTAGACGGCCTGGTGATTGGTGGATCGTCGAGCGGAGGAAGGTGATTGTCTTCGGCTCCGATCATTGTGATTGTGAGGGGTTCTTGTGCCTTCCCCGGCAGAGTACCAAAGGCAACTCTAGTGAATTGCGCGTGGCTTGTGGATTCTCATCTTGTGTTGGTTGTGTGGCACCCGGTTGCGGGTTAGGCATGTGATTCCTATTAGCGCGTGAACCTCTAAGTGAGTGTATCGCCACAACAGGGACTAACTTGTCGACAAGCAAGTGAACCTCGAAGGAAAAATTAATTGTGTCATCATGGTCTCCTTGGTATTCTTAGTATTCATTATGATTGATCACTTGCCATGGTGGTATATCACCTCTACCACTCTCTTGCTTTACTTTGTGTATTTACTTGTGTAGAGTGTGTGGTAGTTGTAGCTAGTATAGATCTTTAGTTGTAGTTCTCTTGCTAGCTTCATCACCTAGGTGTAAATTAGTGACTTAGCCCTTGTGTGATATACTAGAGATCATAGAAATTAGAATTGGGTAGGTGGCTCAAGTGTAGTGCTAGCGCAAAATTCGCTTCGCCATCTTATTTACTAACATCTTAGCTTAAGTGTTGTTGTAAATTTTTAATATGCTATTCACCCCCTCTAGCAATTAGGACCTTTCAAGTGGTATCAAAGCCGTGGTCACCTTGATTCGAGGCTTAACAACCTTCGGTATCAAAATGGCTCAAATCAACAACACCAAGAAGCCACCCCAATTTGATGGCTCAAATTATCCATATTGGAAGGTGAAGATGACCACCTACATCAAGTCAATCAATAGAAAGGTGTGGAAGGTGGTGGAGACCAAGATTGAGATTACCAATGAGGAG